GACCACACGTTGGCATTCAAGGCTTGTACAATTCGTTTCACTCCTGTGGATTCTGGAAAATCATCTGAACAAAAAGATGAAAACCATTTCACTCCTAAGAAACAAAACCATAATGCATTTTGAAAGCAAGGCATGTGGCTGTTCTATTTTATAGCAATGGTTTTAAAAGGCTTTTCCTGCAAGGGAAGACTTAATTCTTGCCTTTCTTTTACAATGGGCTAAGCAAATATATATATCAGCACATCACTTAGGAATAGGCTTCCAGGTATTATGAACTGGAAGTGCTTGGCTTTGACTGTACAGAGATCTGAATTCTGAGTAAGGTTTTATTCAATATTTATCATTAGAAGTGTTCAGAACTGCTATGTTGGTAAATAACATGCAAGTGATTTACAGAGTAACAGACAAGTTAAGTCACTGTTAAAAGCAAGCTACCTTTCATTCTCAATCTTCCAGAACTCTGTACATTATACAAATAGATGGTAATATTTCCTTACTTGGTCAAGTAAAGGATAGTGCATAGATGTATGGCTACTGACCATTTCCTATTCCTGCTTTCCTAGTTGAACTTATTTACTGAATAGATCTGACAACCCTTCGTGGATACAAAGTCAGTTTTCCCATTTCCTCAGCTTAGTCAGCTTCCCATGTTTGTGCAGGTCTCAAAGCAATAGGGAAGAAAAACCCTTTGGAAAGGAAAATGTGATTGCTTAAAAGAATCACACACTTGTAGGATGACTCAGACAGGTGTAATATTTGAAACTGACCTTAAAAATGAATTTAAAATTACCTATGACTCCTTACATCAAATACAAAACCAAGCAGTAGCAGCATGAAGGACGAAGCATCGGAGTCACTGTGAGGAGTGTTCACTTAAGAACTCAATCTGTAGCATATGAAAAAACTGACCAATAATGTAGTCACAGGAAGAGCTCTAGCTCATTTGTGATGAGCTGCCAGAAGCAGTGTCATTTTCAAACACTTTGGTCCAATGTATTTACTGCATCTGTTACATCAGCTTTTGTGAGCAAATTGCAGAACACATTTACAGGGTAAACATGTTACTCACTGAAATGTGCATCCTCTGTGTGAGTCATAGCGAATCAATTATGTTAGAAGTGCAGGGGAAAACATGTATTACTACTCCAAAGACCAACATCCGGAGTGATTATTAATATTCCCACTGCTTACATTATTTGCATGGTAAACAGCTTTTCCTTCTTAGTTATTCAATAGAAAGATAAGTTGACTTTAATGTTACTTACGTTTCCTTTAAAACTGCTTCAAAATTAAAGCTTCAGTCTAAGTGGTATCAATTTCCTACTTCTCTAGTTTCTGTAAGAGCATGTAATGCTCCCTGTGCACCTAACAATGTGCCAAAATGAAATGCATCCAAAAGACATGGAAGAGGGTACCTACCTCCTAAAGACACAATTTTAATCAAGGCTCTTTAATGGAGCGGGGAGAAGCTTAGTCATAGCTTAGAAGTCCTTTAGACTAAATTATTTTTAGTGACAGCTGTGTAGTGAATTTATAATATGGTAAATGTTAATGAATAATTCCACTCAAATGTTAGTGAATAATTCTGCTCAAGCCTGGACATGGAGCTGCTTATCTACTTTTGGTCCTGCAGGGGAAGGATATAAAGACTTTGTCTTTATCACTTGAAATAAGGAGATAAAACTGAGGCTGATAAGGCTTTCAGGAAATGCATAGTCACTTTTTAAGAGTGGAACATCACCCAGCATACAACTGACTTTGCTTTATGGGTTTTTCAAATTGTAAACATATGGTCAGGCAAGTGATTTTGAAACTGGCTTATTTCCTGTGTAACAGTGCAGGCTCTTCTAAAATGTTTTTAACTAACTTTGCTTTTCTGCCTATCAAGGCACTATTTGAGTTAACATTACTTTTTTTTTTTTTTGGTATGTGCAACAGCCTTCAAAACTCTATTTTAAAAAGCCAGGAAGAATTTTTCCCATCCTCGTGTGCTTATCTGGTTCTTGTTTACATTCAATTTTGAAATCAACCTAAAAATGCTTTTTATGCATCAATACAGCTCTAGGATTAATGCCAGAAGAGAGATTATTTTTATGTAGGTACTACATAAATAGCAGCTGTATTTGGGAGGAGACACATGGAATGTCTTGGAGGAAATAACCTCCTCCTTCCGACCTTTTACAGCTCACACTAAGCCTCACCAACTGGGAGCATTCCATGCAGCTGTCATGCAGCCCAGAAATAAAGTTATGCCCCTTGCAATTGTTGAAGATATTTTGGTGTTTTTTTCATTCTAAAAATTAAAACAGAAGCACTGATCTTACCATCTTCATCAGGCAGCTCCTCAGGGCTAAGTTCTACCAGTTCAAAGCCATGTTTGATGCACCATTCTTGAGCTTGCTGCCTATTGACACCTACAGTTGAGAAACAAAAAAATTCCTTCTAACCATGCACATTTGAAACTAGTACCAGCAGCCAAATCTTTAGCTATGTTTTATTCCCCTGAAGTTGCAGGTTTCTTCTGGAATTTAGCAGGTTTAAAGCATACACTGGTTGTCTTGGGTCCCCTATTCACTTTGAAATTGATTCTGAAAGCCCCTGAATTAATCTCATCCTTTGCATCAGTGTTTTTAAATAGACTGACTTTGCAGTGAAAGCTCTGATGGAAATAAGTGAAGTTTTCTATCATTCTGGCCTTGAACATGAAATATGCTAGAATATTGTATAATGCTGATCTAGCATCAAGGCAGGTGGGCAGATTTATGCCAAATGATCAAAAAAGACACCTACCTTCCACTGTATTCAAACAATAGTCATCCTCTCTATTTGCTGTAGAAGTTCATGCACATTCAGTAACATGATCACATTGACAGCTACCTTGCAGTGCATGTTCCTGTGCCAGGAATAGGATGGACAGAGCTCATTTTAAGCAAGCATGGAAAATCCTGCTTCAGTTTTAACCACAACTAGCTTAGGATTCCTGTTCCCAGTCATCTGAGTAACCTGGCTTTTCTCTATTAAATCCTGAGCTCCTTTTCACTTAGATAATTTAAGAAATGGTTGTGCTAGCATATCTAAAAAAATAAAAGGTGAATAACTTCAGGCCAGGTTGGGACTCCCTTGGGTATCATACCATTTTCAGAGACTCTGTCACAGACCAGGATCATGACTTCAGGTAACCACTCCTCTGTTAGGGGAAGCCATTCAGAGACACTATCAAGTCCAGATCTCTAAAGGAGGCAAAAAAGTTTTTCTGAGTACATCCTCAAATACTTCGCAAACTTTAAAATCATTCATGGTGTTAAAATAAAAGCAATGAAGAAAGTAAAAAGAAAAGGTTACAGATCTAGTTGCTACTTTAAGTTGGCTATGCTGTATATTAAGCATGTTTAAGATGCCTGTTCTAACCAGAGAAGCTGACTTGTGTACAACTTATTTGCCTTTCAGATGAGTTAATCCTACTCCCTTGGACCTTCCCTTCATATTGGATATTAATTATGCAATCCTAATTTAGATTAGGAAAGACATAGCAGTAAGCACTTGTATTTCATTCTAAGCCAATCTTGGGTTTAGTGTTCAGCTATTTCATTTTCTGCCCTAAAGCGAATGTTATGGGGGTTGGTGAACCACTATGGTTGCTTTGGTTTATTCTGAGATACTCCTGAGGTGGAACTGAAGGAACTATTGCAGAATATGCAGTATACACAGTTCCTTATCATTCAGAATAGTCTTCTAATTTGTTGTTTCAAAGTCTTTCTGGCTTTTGCTAAAGCATTTAATAACTCTAAGCTGGCAGCAGTGAGAAGAATCTCAGGTAAATGCGTATAGCACTGAATCTTGCATTTATCTCTGACTCTTTCTATGTTAGCACCTACTAGAAGTCATGCTGGAGAAGGATTTGCCCAAGTTCATGGCATGTGTACCTCCTGAAAAGCCTCTCTTTTACCTGGAGTATGATAGCAAGAAGGAAAACACTTCTCTGCTGTCACTGCCAGGGGGCATAACTTAACTTTCCTCTAACACCCATTAATAGATCAGCCTAGAAGGAACAAGGGCCACAGGGCAGAGAATATAAGTTGTGGTTATCACTGTGATAAGACAACTATATAGTACAAATAAAGCAATACAAGAAGCAGAAGAGTCTTACTATTGTGCTGTCAAAGTAAACCACAAATGCTTGTACAGATTCAGCAATCTCTCCTGTAACAAGAATTGTGCTTGGTACCACACAGAGATGAATATCTGCAGAATAATATTTATTATCTATTGTCCAGGGGTAGAAATTCACTCTGCCACTTGCAGATGCATCCACAGCAAGGTCATCTTTTCCAGTGATACCTATATAAAAGAAGAGATAGATGATAAAGCCAGCAGCAAGAAAATAACTCATTTTAAGTGTGGTATATTGCCAGTGTAGAGCCATCTTTTAGTAAAATAAAGTAAGTATTTAAGATCTTTAAAAGCTCAAAGCCAATTTGTTACTTAAACCTAGTATAATAAACTCTAGCAAATCAGTTAAAAATTTAGATGATTTCTGTATTTCAAAATAAAACACCTCCCAAAAGCTTTTCAAAAGGCAAGGCTGTTCTTGGAAGTGCCTTTAGAGTGGTAGTTTTAAACCCTGTACCTGTAAGCAGGATGTACAGACAGAATGTCTAGACTTCATTACAGCAGAAGCAGAACTTGCATGTTTATTCAGATGTAAAAAAAACTGTGACCAAAATACCGTAAGACAACTAATGAGAAAACAGACCAAGTGCTGAAACTTAGGTGTAATTCTCATTAAATTCCACGTAGCGTTTAACAATTGTGCCTGGAAGCAGCTTAGCAGAACTGACTCCCATAGCGTGACAGCCACCTGCTGCAGTTGGATTATAGTTAATGGCAAAGCATCCTGCACATCCCGAAGTGATACAGGCAGAACATCTTCCAACCTGGCAAACTCGGGGATGTTTTTCAACAGAGTAGGTAAATTTCATATCGAATTGACGGAGACCCCTAGAATTTCCTTGGGCATCAGAGCAGTTTAAAAGAAAAGGACATAAAACATGTGGCTTGTCAGAGATTTAAGGGATCAGATTTTAAAGGTTTGGGGGACAACTCTGGAGACATCAGAACAGGCAGTTCCCCAGATAACCTGAACTTTAATTTGAAGTGTTCTGTAACTTATAAATAAAAAGCAGGAGCCTCCATCCACCCAGGCTGCTTTCCTGCCTGTGTTAAACCTGAGCTTTGCAGTCTGCCTCACACAGATCTATCAGAAATCTCATTTTCAAAGTAAATATGAGCAGCTGATAAAACAGTTCAAAGGATAACATGTCTTCTTTCATCTACAGCTTTAATGTGAATATTCTATTAGAATTCTAACAAAGGCATTTTGGCAGATGACAAATTACTTGTTTTTCCTGCTGCAAAACAGGAGTTTAAAATGATTGATTTTTCCAGGCATAGCAATTAACTGTTTTAATTTAGTTTGATATCTTTGGTAAACAATTAGGATGCTATTTAATAGGCACCAATTGCTAGTAGACTAGAAATTAAAAAAAAAAAAGTATGGCCAATGGAGGTAGCTTTCATTATGCTTAAAAACAATATAATTCACAAAATTCCATCAAATGAGGTAACCATTAGATCAACAGACAGGTTTTTTGTGTGTGTTTAAAACATAACAATACCATTTTTCCCCTAAATTGGGGGCTTCCACAGGTCCCTTCCAGCCCCAGCTCTTCTGTGAACTAGTCTGGGGAGGATCTGGAGCCCAGGGCTTCAGATGTAGGCACAGCGTCTGCTTTCTGCCCTAGAAAGCAGATGTTTTGTTTGGAGGTTTAAAATACCACATAGAATATGCTGAAAATTCCCCTTAGCAAGTGTTGGGACAGTTAAAAGTGAATTAAACAAGAATTAGTTCTGTGTTACAGAATTGCAAGCTAATGAAGAAGCTGTAACTTTAGAGGCACCCTTTCATATTTATGTCAACTTTAGTGTAACTTCTTAGCAAAAGTGACTTATTTTTGTTTCCATTTTTGCTACTTAAATGGCAAATAATGTCTTATTTCTCACTTGTGTCATATTTGCCCTCTGTTTGATGCTTCAGGGTATTTAATTGTCTGAAGTCACAAAATCAGCAAAAAGATGTAGGAAGAAAACCCAAGGGATGAAAGCAGGAGGAGGAAAGGAACTCTGCAAAATTCACATGAGTAAAGCTAGCCACTATAGCCAGAATATAAAACAGCTACTCCCTCTGAGGCCACATCTGCCTAAGTGTCTGCTTTGAAAGAGGTCATGAACAGTCTTAGACCTCCAAGCCCTGCACTGTTAGAAGCACTAGTGCATGTTCCATTCCTGATGAAATGCTCCAGTCCCGCTGCTCTAAGCACTCTGTCACCTTCTCTGCTTCAGATCACTCTTCACTCAATGAGATTTTTGCCAATTCCATGCGAAATTTCTCTTCCAGGGGAAAATGCTGTTGCATGCAAGGGACTGCAGGAATTCTTTGAAAGGACCCAAACACACTATGCCTTAGACTGCACACGTGTTGGCAACAAACTACTGCAAAGCAACCTTACTACTCATGGCAGGAAAATTAAATGCAATTTGTCTATCTTGTGAATACTTTGCTTCTCTGCAAAACTTGCTTACTAGGCTACTTAGTTTTTGGTCTCTTTTGGTAAATAAGGAAAGGCTACTAAAGCCTGTAGACTGCCTTAGTTTTAAGGATTACATATGCCACCTTGGCAGGAGTTTTTTTTCAAGAGGGCTTATATGCTAATGCAATAAAAATTCAGCCAGAAAAGCTTCTTCCATAATTTTAGAGACTACTCATCAAAATAAGTTTCTGTTGGATACAGAATAAGTTTCCAGAAAACTGATGTGGCAAAAAGGTGGCCTGTTAAATTATCTCCACTGTGTTACTCAAGCATCCCAGCCATTGAAAGTGTCAGTGGTTTGCCATCCAAAGAGCTTGGAAAACTGAGTCATTCTTTGACCACAACAGCAGGCAGGCCTGCTGGGCTGACTTCATTAACTTGCCTTTTCATGGTGCAGAAGTGGCTTGTTTGGACAACAGGAATCGGGCAGTCTCCAAAGCGTCGGGATTAAAGACTACTGAAAACATGCATGGAAAAGATCATGCCATAGAGTACTGCTTAGTGTTATTAAAACATAATGACCTAAGAGTTCATGATTCTCTAAGAAATACTGCAACTAATACAGTGCTTTTATTATGCTGAAATAACCTTTATTTTACAGAATGGTTGAGGGTGGAAGGGACCCCTGGAGATCTAGTCCTGCCTTTCAGTTTGTGGACGCTGCCTCTCAACCTGTTGCTGGCACCACTGAAGTGAGTCTGGCCTCAATCTCTTGACACCCTCCCTTAAGACATTTCTATATGCCGATAAGATCCTCTCTCAGACTTCTCTTGAACATTTTAGTCTTATTTAAAATGTCTGAATCAGGATTAAGCACACTTCAGGGTCCTGCATTGTACATGGAAGCTCTTTTGCACAGAAATAGAAGTTTCCCCAGCTTTTCCTTGTAGCCTGGGGACCAAAACAAACCTGCTGCCCAAGCTGGCACCAGTGCCATCCTACCACGGTTACCTCCTGCATACGTCAGTGCTATTCATCTATGCCACCTCCAAAACCAACTTTATTCCAGGCAGTCATTCACAACATTGTTTTCCAGCAAGCTAATTAATCATCTGTTGTTTTTTATTTTTTTTGTTTACAAGCACCTTGTTTTAATAAAATGTACAACTCTGATGAATCCACACTTTGGGAAGTGAATTTCAGCTACTGTTTATTCACATAAACACTTATTCAATTTTACTGATTTTTACTTTTTGTAGTACAGAAGCTTAGTATTTTGTAAGTGCAAGGCAATGTATGTTCTTTCAAAGGCAGGACTAGAGGCCAAAAATGTAATTTTTCATTGGAGAGCTGAAAAAGAATCAAAGAACCAGAGGCAGACTGCTCACCACTTCTGGCTGCAGTATTTCCTTTTCCCTAACACCCCATTGATATTTGAATTACTTCTGTTTACTACCACCAGACTAGTGATGTTTTTCAAAATCCTATCTGCAGATAACTCTTTCCAATGAGATTAAAGTACCGAACACTTTTGTATTGTTTTTCTGATTTAATACTCAGAGCACAGTGCAGTTCTCCCCTGTGCCCTGGAAGATCCCGTGTCCTCCGAGCTGGTAGGTGCAGGGAGCAGCTCTTGCATTCCGTGCCTTGAGAGCCACCTGGTGGAACACGAGGTAAGAAATTCTCCAGCAATTATCAAGGAGAAAAGGTTTCCAAAATACAGGTTCAACTGGCATGTTTTGTTGGGAAGGAGGAGAGCAGAAATGCTCACAAACATACACAAATTCATAACTGGGATCTTTATCAGCCAGCATTTATAAAAAAGACTAAATTGAGTATTTTATTGGATCTTGATTTGTGGTAAAAGAAATCTGAGAAAGGGGTCAACTCTGTGTTGTGCATTTTATACTAAATTCATTTTGCTACAGGATCTAATACACTAAAACAGAGCAGCCCACAGCATCTTGAAAGAATAAAAACATTTAGCAAATGTACCGTAATATTCTACCCATCCTGAATCTATTTTCTCCTCTATACTACAGGATGAAAACATTGTGGAAAAAGCCTTCTAATGATCCTGGAATTTTGGGGAGGTCACAGGAGAAGTTTTCATACATGTGCTACAGTAAACTCTCTTGGCAGCTTCCTTCTACTCATATAGAACAGGTTTTCTGGGGGAAAAAGGCACATATCAGTAGAAAAAGTGAGTAGCACACTGACAAAAGCAGTCGTGGCAGAGATGAGGTCTTTTGTGCTTGCTAGACTCAAAGCCCTGTTCACTATATAGATCTAGAGCAATACAGCATTTTACAGCATATTTCAACCATAAATGTTGCATATAAAATGCTGTACTGCCTCAGAGGTGCTCACACAAGGGTCTTGTTGGGAGAAAACTGCACTTAGCTAAAAAAATATTAGTGTCTTTAAACTGCTGCAACATTTGCACGCTGTTAAAGCTTCAAACATCCCACCAATGTCTTGCCTCAACCCACTAATGTCCTTCATTTCAATGTTCCTCAGGCTGGTCAAGCGTAGTCAGCCACAACCACCTTGTCCTTCTATACTGGTTTATCAGCTATGGGTTCTGCTTTTGCTCCTAGATCAGATGCAGCTTCATTTGCTACACAAGGCAGGAATTTTATTTCCAGTAGGTGATGTTAAATTCTTTAGAAAAACACCACCCCAACATGCAATCTGACATGAGGATGCAAAGATAACCTGCAAGAACCCAGGAGAAAGCAGAAATTTGGCCATTTGCAAGTGAATACTACTTAAGCCGAGATTAAATGCCATTTCTATTGGGCTTTTTGCTTACTTTTATTTCAATTATTTTCTCTGAGAAAAGTAATCTATTGGAGATTTGTACAGTTCCTTCCAGTTTCCTTTACCCTTAACAGCAAGCAACAACAGAGAATAAATCCTTACAGCAGCTTGCTATTCTTTGCTACTAAACAACTTCAGGGTCAGCCTCTTTTGGCAGGCTCACCTTTGAGAGATGGGTACTGTCATTCTTGCTACAAAATGTGGTTTTATAACATGGACTGAGTCAAACCCTTGGGTCAGCTCCATACTTTACCAGGCTCTTGCATAAGAACTAACTCACTGAAAGAGCAAAACACAAATCCAGAAAGAAAAATGACAGCTGTAGATAACTATCTACAGCTTATCTGCTGCATTAGTGAATTAACACCTTTTCTAGATGCATACAACCAGCGTGTTCCTAGAGATGGCAGAAATATCTGGAACTGGACAGATGGGAAGGAGATCAGATATCCCACTTGCAGCAGCACCAAAATCATTAGATTGAGATGCCCAAGCAAGTAAGTGCAATCTAAAGTTTTGTTGATAACTCCAGGAGAGTGTTTTTTAATCTTTCTCATTCCTGTGTGGTCAAATTTATCAAAAGATGCCATGGGAAAGCATGAGGTCTGGCTTAAGGCCTTTTAGCAATTTGCTGTTTTAGGCCTAAGGGTCCAAATCTTTGATCACATCATAAATACAGGAGGCAAAATGAAATCTCAGGGACAATATTTAGTCTGTTTCTATGATTTATTCCTATAGCACAAACGTTGTTCAGCTGCTGCTCATGTGTATTCTAGGTGGGATGTGGTGACTGGCCAGCAGGTAAATCCACCCTGCAGGCCACCCGACTGTCCTCTTTGTCTTCATTGGCTTTATTTTCCCAGTCGTTGGTTTTGCATTTTTTTTTCCCTCCTGTTCCCTCAGTCTCGGCGCACGCAAATCCTCCAAATCTAAACCATTTTTACCCCCTTTTTTTGACAGAAAGAGGCCAACGCTCCCTCCCGGGAAGGAGGCGCTGGAGCGCGGCGCCTGTGGCAGAACCTCCCTCGTCCTCCCCGGCGGTGCCGGCCCCGGGGGCACTCACGTTTGACGAGCTCCTCGGCCGCGAAGCCGGCGGCG